CGCTAATCCTTTCGGTTTTCTAAATAATGGTAATGTAAATGAATAAATGATATTAGCTTAGCTCTCACTTATGTAAATAGGCATATTTCGTTTTGATTTTTGAGACTGACAGCAATCCTATTCACCGCTAAATTATCTTAATTCAAGAAAAATGCTGGATGTTTACAGTTGTGAGATCAATATACCAGTTCAGCTCAGACGTTATCACGCGTATTCTCGATGAGCTTCAGTGAAACTGTGGAGGGTCTAACACAGTCAATAGTGAGATGGTTGATGGAGTATCTCATGCTGATATTCCATGGGTCCTCCAATTTCGCTAAAGCCTGCCGTGTGATGCGCGCGATAGCGGGCGAAGCAAAACTGGTCGGCTGAGGTTAATATGTTGGGAGGCGCTTCAGACCTGTTACCTAACCATGACTTTTGTTTGAGCTAATCTCAACACGCTAACTGTGAATTGAGGGAGGTTTACTACCGTCCCTGATTGATCATAAAGAATAGAATGGGTTGGATACTGCATATATGGAACGAACTCGATCAAACGCAAGCGTTTAGGAAGTCCACTTTTTCTCATGGAAGTGTTTTGTCGGTGTAGCGGATTCAGATTCAAATCAGATGTTTCGCGCCAGCACCACCAATTTGTTGACCTTCAGGTGTGCTAGTGCTGCATGTCCAGTATCCGCAACTGTTCGTGGAATGCGCGTTAAAGTGTGATGCAAATAATATCCTTTTTTCTTTTTTTTCTAGCTACCGCTATATTATTGGCTTCTCAAGTTGCAGTGATATTCCACCACGGACGACAAAATTGGCGCTTACGATAGTTCGCAAATAGCTCACTGAACTTACTGCAGCAGCCAGTTATAGCAAAATGCGGGAATTGAAATACCCTTTGTTTTATAGTCCAGTAATCTTTATCATGGGGATTTTTCAAAACTTGCTTGCTTGTTTTGCTCAAGCTAAGCCGCGATTATGTTCGCAACTCGGAGCATTAGAGATAGGTAGGCGAGAGAAGCTATGTATTAAGGGGATGGATCTAGGATGTAGTAGATTAGGAAGCAGATATTTAGACGAGGTAGTAGGAAGTTAAGAGATTGCGCTTACGAGAACGGATACGTATCGACTGAAATCGCCGGAGAAAAGCAGATTGCGATATTACGATAGTAGGATAGTATAGTAGGAGATTAGGATAGTGCGCTGGCAGATTAGATGTGTATTGATCTATTCGCTTGAAGTCGCCCAATCTACTACTCTCCAGCGATTTCAATCGATACGTATCCAATCTTGTCAGCGCAATCTCCTACTCTACTACTATCCTAATATCCTGTCGCCTACTATCCTAATCTCCCGAGTCGCGAACTATGAACGCGGCCTAACGGTTTTCTTTGGTTATTTCTCGTTTCTGTCAAAACGAGAGAGTGAATGCAGGCTTGAGGCGAAAAAGATCCAGGCATGCTTTCAGTAACGACTCAGGGTGATCTCCATGAATTAGCAGTCGTGGGCTATTTGAGGCACCCATCAGGAGGCCTTCCGCGCGGCGAGACGACGGATTGGCAGACGGGTTAACGAACGAGTCGCTGCGCGTTTTGTGCGGTGTGGGAGGTGATATAATACTCCCATTTAAGCTGAAGCTATTTTGTGCGGTGTGGGAGGGGATATAATACGTCCCATTTAAGCTGAAGCTAAATCGCTAGAATGTGCACAGCGAATCCTTCTCTGACCGGTCTGGATCTCTGCTTCTCGTCGCGCGAAGGGCTCCTGTTAAGTTTCGAGCTACTTGCAATCTCCCTGGAAGGAATCATTTCCATCAATCCTACTATATATAATCGACTAAGTATGTCCGTTGGTGTGTGTGCGTTTGTGTGTATGTTTGACTGGAAATTCGTCGCCAGAAGTTGATTTTGAGATATGATAAAGGGGGCGGGGCGGAAGCATGTTGGGCGGGGGACTGAAGGTGATAACAGCTGATAATATCCGATAAGGGGCGCTAGAATGCAAGGAACCATGGTTAATTTTTCCTGAACGGCCCTCTGAATACCAGAAAAGGGGGTCCCTAGTTCGATTCCTCGTGGTGACAAATTTTTGCATTTCGAGTTGACGTTCCAAAATTCGCGCAAAATGGAGTTAGCATGAATAATTAGTACCATATTCATGATTAGGACCGTCAGTAACCCTTACAAAAAGACTTTGACTTAAAAATTGGTGTAAGAGGTGTGACACCAAGCAGCCCCACTGTGGTGTCACACCTTTTTCACCAGTTTTTTAATCAAAGTCTATTTGTAAGGGTTACTGACGGTCCTAATCATGAATATGGTAATTATTCATGCTAACTCCATTTTGCGCGAATTTTGGAACGTCAACTCGAAATGCAAAAATTTGTCACCACGAGGAATCGAACTAGGGACCCCTTTTCTGGTATTCAGAGGGCCGTTCAGGAAAAATTAACCATGGTTCTGTGGTCCCGCATGTGCCCCTATATCATGCAAAAGACCGTTTTCAAAAGATAAATATCTATTGGAGGACAGAAAGTGACAACAGCCGATAAGGAGCGCTAAAAAGCAAATGTCACGAAATTCATAGTGCACAGACCAGCAGCATTGCGGTGAGGTCTCTGGGGCATGAAGTAAGGGGTAGATGGCCAAACAGTGGCAAAACTTTAAGTAATTTTTCTTTGAGTAATCTATCTCTACCCACGCAAATGATGTAAAAATGAAATGAATTGGTTCTTATCAAGTATTCGGTTTTGAGTAACCTCTATGTTCTTAGGTATACTGCGATGTGTTATCGTTCGTTTCTCCACTCTGTTATCTCCACCCTCTTTAAGTAAGTGTTACAGCTACAGCGGATCTCCCCACAGGTGTTGCCTTTTGAAGTCACTCTTAGCTGCAGAACATTCTGCTGCTTGCTCGAAGATTTCGCTTTTCTCGATAGCGGGCATTCGCCTTTTCAAACGTCGACGTTATCACGCTGCCTGACGTTGATGAAGTGGACAGAACTGCATGCTAGAACTTGACTCAACTCAAGCTTTTAAGCTTTAACGGCACATGGGTTTTCAACCACTGCTGGCTGCTTCGACAAACTTGTGCATGTATAGCCCATATCAAATCTGATTAGTATATGAGTTTTACGTGGCTGTCGCCGCACTTGATAGAAGTTGCGTGGATGAAGCTGCTTCCAGGCTTTGCTGATATCCAGCGGAGTATGTTAGAAACAGCTTATCCACACGGCTTCTATCAAGTGCGGCGACGGCCACGTCAAATCCACAGACACGCCTAATCCGACTTCGAGATACGGACTGTATATGTATTCAAGGGTATGTTGTGCTAAGCTAAAGGAAGCGATCACGCTGGATTTGCTACCCTCGCGTTATCAATCGATAAGGTGTGAGGCAGTAATTGTTGGACGAGTGTAAGCCCATGGAAGATATGATACGATGAGATAAGAAGGTGCGGCTGCTTGATAAGAGGTGCACTCCAGAATGAAAACGGGACGATAACGATAACGGTATCATATCTAGCACGCTCTTATCGCACCCCTTTCCACATCGATAAGTCTTGGTTTTGCTGAACGGAAGTGGATTTCGGCGCCTTATCACTCCGTTGATAAGGCGCCACTGCCACTGAAACTTCACGTGTCTAACATTGGGCAGGACCCCTATCCACTCCAGTACACAGCTTTCCTTATCGTCCCTATGAGAATTATCGTGACCACTTCCTTTAAGATCACTGTCTTTTGATCCCAGGACAGACAGCAGCCTTAGAGGCTTACACCTGTCAGGAGCTTTGAGTTGTCCTTCTTCAAAGAACTTCAGCGCAGACAAGTACTGTTTATTAACACAATTCTCTTGTATTATCCTCACTTCGTGTCCCATTAATATCGTTAACCTGAAACTGAGAATTCGGATTATTGTAACAAAATAACGAACCGAGTGAACACTGATACGAAAAATAATCGCTGCTATATATTTATTATTCGCTATATCTGTCAGCGTTTGTTTTTCCGTCCGTCATAAATTTCTGTACAACGTGAGAACCATATACAGAGTCCGAGTTCCCGGTCAATGTAGGTTGGGTGGAGTATAGGTCAAGAAGCATAAAACACATCCAACTGCTCGTTTCCCGCCCACAGCGGGCGGAGCTCCGACCAGTTGGTATATGTTTTATGCTGCGCTGATATAGGGCCGAAATGGGCGATGCTGGCGGCAAAAGTATTGAGTTCGGTTATTGAAGAGCCCTGACAGGGAAAAAATGGTACAAGTGCGAGTTGAGTTGCTAAGTCGCGGAGCCTTCTTTCAATGGATCAGAGAAAAGAAAACAGATGAAATGCTTAGAAAAAATTCATATTTTGGCTAGAAGAAGGTCTATGGAGCAGAAAGAGCTTGGTTCAACAGAGCAATATCCAAGACGTTGCCAGTACACCTAGCCCTTTAGCCGCTCATAGAATACATGTGCCATGCCCTTAGGTGGGCGGCATTTATTTCACATCTTCATAATCCGATTTATAGGTGTGCCGTCTGCTTGAATGGTGCAGTTTGGAGTCCTTTTCCATGAATGGCTCTGACATACTTAAAATTTCTTAATATACGCTTGTGTTCCAGATGCGTAAGATGTTGTTCAAGATGCACAAGGTGGGCAAAATTTAAATGTAAAGAAAAGTAGCTAACAACGCGAAATAAAATAATCCCAATATATTCCTGAGTGCTTAGCGGACAGGACACCCCTTCTTGTCACTTTGTGCAATGGTACATGGATGGAGACTTGGAGTATCGTATACGTTGGTTGATAGGCGACGTCGAGTAGTTCTGGGAACTGTTACGCGACTTTCCTAGTCGAAGACTTCGTGGTGATATCTACAGCAAGTCGCCTTTTTGCGCTCACCGCACATGGGTTGGGTAGCTTAGATTGGCACTTCTCGCATGTAAAGACATTCGACATTTTTCACTCGCACCTACTCTACACCATCTTCGCTTTGCATGGCACTCAACGTCCAGTACAGTCCATCTTGGCTTGTGGCATCACTCGACTCTGTTGGAGCTGGAGAAATTTGCTATTCTATTGAATGTGTCGAGCAATTCATGCCTTAAAGGGAGCGCATAGCATAAGTATGTATGCGCCACACAAAGCAGCAGCTTGACAACCGACGAAACGAGGTGTGAGCCGCTGAGCCGTGATTGAAAATCGCTCCACCCATCAGATTAGCTCGCGATTTGGACGAACTTGTTGCCAGCAGCGAACCTGGAGGAGTTTAAAGCATAGACTGGCATGACCACCAAACGCGCTGCGGCAAACTCGTCTATACGTTTCATCTTAGCCGTCACTCATCCGTGAGCGGAAATTCTACTATTAGAATTCCTCTAATTTAACCTCAGATGCTTGGTCTTCTAATCGTTCATCCGGAGCTGGATGTGCATGGAGTGGTTCTTGTGTTTGTGCATTCTACTTCTGCGATCAATTTTTTCCACAGCAACCGACGGGACTTCCCCTTTCCTGTCAGGACTTCACGCATTTCCCTGTGCTCACTCAAATTTGTGAGCTCAAGAACCTCAGAGTGGATGTGTATGCACAAAAGGTGTATTATGTAGTGAGGTTGATGGATAACGGCCGAGGAATTCTCCACTTACAAGGGAGGTCGTTCAGGGTGTGGAGCGCTTTTTCAAAACGGTTTTTTGCATGCTGTAGGGGCTCTCACGGGGACGACAATACTATGTTTCATTTTCGCTGAGCGGCCTTCTGAAGGCCAAAAATTGGTAGGGAAGTGGTCCAAGGTTCAATCCCTCTTGATGACAGAATTTTTGCACTTTAGTTGGAGCTTCGAAATTTCCTTAAAATAGCGCCAGCACCAGTACCTCAGACCTTAAGGGTGTAATAATACTTACATCAATTCAGGATTCGCAAATCGAAGACAAGAAATACAAACATACTTCTATCAGCAATAATTATATGCAAAAATATTGCTCACACGCTACAGAGACAAGAGCGTATCAACGGCGAGACATAAACTAGCGTAAATTGAAGCTATCGGATAAAATTAATGTCATATTCGTGATCAGGGCACTCGATATTCCCTAAATCAGAAGTTCTTGAGAAAATTGAGAATTTGACCTGGATCCGAAAAATTGGCCAGTGATAGGTCAGTAGCCCATAGTTGCCTCCAGCCGGTGCACTGGAAACGAGTTCCCAGTTATCCTTCTCAAATAACGAGAAGTATCACTGCTAAATGGACAATGGGAGACACCCAGGCTGGTAATGGGCAACAGGGCACCATGATTTTGAAGTCGGCAGATTCTCTCCTTCATCAAGACGTGGTAATTGGGTCCACGGCTCCTCCACTCGCAAGGCTGCGTGTCCATTTCAAGGACTGCGACATGATGGAAGATGTTCCCTATGAAACCGAACTTTAGTTCCCGTGAGCCGACAAGGCATTGCGCTTGATTTCGGCGCCGCACTCGTATTCAAGTCGCTCGGCTACAGGTCGTCATACCTGTAGCCCATGGCCACCCTCTTTTTCGAAGTTAGGTCAAAACCTAGATTTTTCCTGAAATTTGGCATGTGGGGGTAGATCAGGGTCCTGTACACGATTATGGCGTTCGTTTTTGACGTCGGCGCCATTTGGCGCCAGTTTGGCGCTGCGAACTTTTTCTTCCAATTTTTGGTAGAAAACCCATTTGCAAGGGCTACTGACGGTCCTGAATGAGAATATAGCGTTAATTTTGACGCTGAAGCAATTTGGCGCCAATTTGGAGGTGATTATCAAAAATGCAAAAACAGCCCAGGAGCGGACTCGATCCACAAAGTCGTGCCAACCCCAGTCCACCACCCTATCCACTCCAATGTCCGCTGCGAATGAAGGTGCCGACGACGCCTATTGAAACCTCTACACTTTCTTCAGCAGTACCACGTACAGTGCTTCAATTTGAGCGAATTTCGAGTTGTTTTCGATATTATCTTCATCGGCGCCCTTCAAAATGCAGGTGGTCGTTTGTACAGGTCCGAAACTTCACTCCAAGGCAGCAAAAACCACCCTTCTTAACGAATTTTTTTTCGACCATTTTTTGGCCTTCAGGGGGCCGCTCAGCGAAAACGAAACGCAGTATTGTGGTCTACGTGAGAGTCCCTACAGCATGCAAAAAACCGTTTTGAAAAAGCTTCCCACACCCTGAACGACCTCCCTTGTTAGTGACGTAATTTTTAAAAGGGTTGTGAACGCACGTATGCGCAACGAGCCCAGCAGTGCTGGTTTCACTCGCTGCCACCCCTCATTTTTCGAGTAGTTCAATTAAATTAAATAATATAGTAGACGTCTTCCAATACAAAACTCTATCGTGCGAAGTGCTTGTGGTGAGCTGGATCTGTATGTGGAAGAGGAAACTCGTCTAACAAACAGAAGCACAAAAGTGGGGGCATTGAAGGTTTGTTTCAAATCTATTTCGTTTGATTATTTATTTGTTGCACGCTTAGGTGCGCTACATTGTCACACCTTAGCTTCAGTAATAGGGAACACTGAACATGAATTCAGTGAACCAGCTAGGTAGCAGTCGAGATAAAGAGAAGTCGATTCTCCAGAACTAAATCATAAAAAGCGTAGACGTCAACAATCGAAGTTAGGAGGTTCCTGTAAGCTCAATAAGTTGTGCTCAAACAGAACGTGTTAGTGCATTCGTCAAGTCAATTATTTAGAAGTCAATGGCGATAGCGCTAGAAACGCACTCCAACGAAGAAAGGCATAACGCATGGAATAGAAAAAAAAACTAGAGTACATATATCAACGATGTTGCTAATTCCTACCTACAATTTAACTTTATCTTAAATATCTATCCTTACTCAATTGTTCACAACTGAACACTGTCTGATTATTTCGAACGATTCTCACGTGCTCCGAGGGATTGGTTTTTTCTAAGCTAAGTCGAGCTTCCGGTCCCCGATGCGCTCAGAATCAATGAGCACTGCCTGAGGAATTTGGTGAAGGAGGAAAAGGTAGTATGGAATTTTAAAGTGCGAAAAAACCCCAGCCTTCTTGACGCCATTATATCCCACAGCTAGAAATACGTCTTCATCTCTTCATCAGAACTGTGTCGGACAGCAACGCAAACAAGGGAATGATGACAGTAGCGGTCAAAAGTTTGGAAACTTTTTTATTTTTGATCTAGCGCGGCCGACACACAACGAAATTGTCCCAAATTTAGATATTCATACAAAATCAAGTTCAGAATACGACGGGAAGAATAATTTCCAAAAATCTATAATCATATTTGAGAAATAAGATTTTTTCAAGTAATGGCGCGTCAAAAGTTTGGAAACTTTTTGTTTCCCTCATCATTATGATTCCTACTCTTCAATGTTTACTTGTTTCTGTTAATTTTAGTTCAACCATTGAGTAATGTGTAATTTCAAAATGAATTCATATGCAAAGGAAGCAGTTTTTCCATGGGAGGTCCTTTTTTAAACCCTACAATCCGGAATACGAAATTGAAATTGTTTCTTAGTAGTTCAGTCTCTACGGAAGCAATATTATCGAATGTTTCTAGCGTTATTGGAGTCGAGTAAGCATAAGAAGAATGATCATTCACAAAAAGTATCCTCACAAGAAAATTGGCCCTACTCAAATACTCCGAAGACCGCTTGGCACCCGTCATTCCCAGCTAGGATACAACTTTATCTGGTTTTCTCCTAATCATATGAAAGTCAGCATAACATCGGCCGCGACCTGGTGAATATTACGGATGATGTCCCAACAAGAAGCCATTGTTGGGCTTCAAGAGCAGGATGGCCCAACTGGCTTCCGCACACTAACGGCTAACATGGACCGAAGGCGAGAGGTAAAACTTTGTCCTCAGCGACGAATGGGATTTCTGTCTTCCTAAAATGATGTTGTGGACCCTGTGAAGTGTTACATCAACAGGAAACTTTATTTTAGCTACCAGACTCCAACAGTCAAAAATGTAGAGGTGGCCAAGAAAAGACAATTCACCCTTCATTTTGGACGGTATTAGTCACACTGTGGTGAATTCAAATCGGCTGCTCTCATTAGCATTTGAGTGCACATACCTATCTGATATAAACGTTTTAACAGCTTTCTACCGATGATATCACAAGAATTCGCTATGGGAACCTTGTGCACGGTTCGAGCTCAACATGGTCCTCGACGGATCATGGACCATTGCGACATTATCTGAAAGGCTCGGAAGGGGTCTTGCATATTCAGAGCTACTGTCTCCTAGGAAGCAATCTATCAGTGATCCGATCAAGAAATTTCGTAGCAGCTTCAGGCTGGAACGATTACGGTAGGCCTTCTTGAGCTAAACGGTAATAGGAAGATGACGTCACATCTTGAGGACGGTGAGTACGGTAGAGAAGTGCAATGCCGGTTGAGCAAGCTTCTGTCACCTTCGCGCGCACTTTCGAGCCGCCGCAAAAGGGGCGCGACGTCAACGTTTTCCGCCTGTATACTACGCTCGTGTGGGTCAAGACTCAGAGCGTGCCTTTAACTACCCCTTTCCCTACACTGCTCTCCAGCTGCTACTGCACCACCGTGTGAAATGATCGAGAGTGTGCTCAGTAGGTGTTTATATAGCCGTCGGGGTGTTATCACAACTGTTACATTGCAAAACATTGACAACCCAAGTTCTACCGACCAACCGATTTCGTTAGTGGCTCGCTTCCCATAAGCTTCCTTATCACTTCATTTTGCGGACGGACACACAGACATAC